AAGACTTGTTCTCCAGACCCCTCACCAGCCTCGTTGCCCTTCTCTGGACACGCTCCAGCACCTCAACGTCCTTCTTGTAGTGAGGGGCCCAAAACTGAACACAGTATTCGAGGTGCTGCCTCACCAGTGCCGAGTACAGGGGCACGATCACTTCCCTACTGCTGCTGGCTGATATTTTTTATCGGCCAAATACCGTGCAAATATATTTTGCACAGGATAGATTACGTTGTAGTTCCTATGTTTAAGTTATCTGGATACTATTCCTGCTAGTGGTGACACTTGCAGTTTCTAGCTACAATTGCCAAGGAGACATTTTGCTTGCCATGCTGTCTGTAAGCAGTTCCCTAGCCAAAACAAAATTACCTTCAAAATTACTCTTCCTGCACAAACATGTATAGTAGGGCTTTTCTAGTACCAGCTGTATTGATCACTTTCAAATTTATGCTTGCAAAACTTAAATGTAAACCAGTTGACCAGAAATCCACAGCTTATAAAATACACAGCTATACTGTAAAAGAACACTGACTTTTTTTAAAAAATACAAAATTTTAAATGTGAGGATTTTTGTGATTGTGAGGCTTTCTCATTTGCAGAGTGATAGTACAACCACAAATAACAATTTTTCAAAATAAAAGCATTTGTCTCTAAAGGTTTCCTTAGTCATCCAGAATTCCAATTCTATGACTGTAGAATAGAATCCAAAAGCAAACATCTGCCAAAAAATAGTTATTAAATGAATGAATTATTTATATGCCAAACAGCATAAAGAAATTTAACTGAGAGTTGTTAAAGAAACTTGTCATGTGTGAGCTTACCGATTAACAATTTTTATTTCAGGCCCCATAAGCTGGGTGCTAGCAGGGTTTACAATCCTTTTATAAGGACTACTTTAGGATAAAGTTCTCCTTAGCTCTTACTCAAAGATCTGTTTTCTACAATATGTGGTTTTAAGAAATGCAAGTAGGATCATAAACCAAAAAGTTCAGAAACTATTGCTCCAGGATTTTGTAATACTTTGTAATTGTAACTTATTTCACATGTTCATGCTTTCTTGACGTAATAGCAAGAATTTTGGATATTTGCAGATTCAACTTGAACTAAGCGTAAACCCTTTTATGTTTTTCATATGAAGTCCTTAATATCTACTTAACTGTGAGCCACCTTCTTGCATTGAAAATACATGCTCACGAGCAATATATGCACTAATTTTTCTTAATTTGCAATTGCATATACTTTTCTCCCGAAGTTTTCCATTTTTTTCTACAGTCATCCTTTCCAAAACTTCCTCTCTTGAATAATATTCCTAATATCCTGTTCCACAGTTGGCTAGCAACCTAGTCAAGAATAACACATAACTGATACATATATTTGTCAATAATATTTCTTGCTTCTATTCTTTTTTTTATTTCCAGTTTATTCTATGTTCAGCTTCAAACTGTGATTAATAGTATCCCTAATCTACAAGATGAGGGGGAAGAGTTAAACACCAAGAATCTTTCTTGATGTTTATCAGTTTAAAATGACTTAACTGTGCTAACAGCAAGTTTGGTGAGGCTAGTAATGTGTAATTGTTGGGTATATCTCTTGTAATCTGGAGTTGCTTTTGTCTGATTATTTTTAAGTCAAGATTCAAGTTCTAAAATGTACAAATTTGAAAGGTTGTATGATTCATGTGGTACAAAATGATGGCAAAGACTCTTAAGTATTTAGTAATAGAAAGAGTACCTTTAAAACTTCCTGCCCCCCCCAGCCACTAAAAATGGGATCAGACAGAGTCACAGTGAAATTTGACCCAGAATGTAGTTGAGAGATAATTCAGAGCTCCTGTTCTCTCTTCGGCTTCAATTGATGAAACACTGACATTTGAAATTGTTCATTTCTTAGCTTTAGATTCTCTTAAACCTTCCTGCCCCCCCCAGCCACTAAAAATGGGATCAGACAGAGTCACAGTGAAATTTGACCCAGAATGTAGTTGAGAGATAATTCAGAGCTCCTGTTCTCTCTTCGGCTTCAATTGATGAAACACTGACATTTGAAATTGTTCATTTCTTAGCTTTAGATTCTCTTAAGACTTTTTTCAAGGGAACCAGTATCATAATGACTGAATAAAAACACTTAGCTTTTTTCCCCACTCACCTGATGCAGCTAAAGGCTCAGAAAAACTGATAGTAAGTAAGAGGGAACTAGGAGGTTCCTGTAGAAACAAACTCTTTAGGGCTATTATCTTCCCTTGTATTTTATTCTTGAAATCAGCCAGTACGTTCTGGGGGGAAAAAAATTTACTCCATTGTAAAAGGCCAGAGAGAGAGAGAATGTACATGACTGACTAAATGTTTTGATAAGGTTGTACAAGGAAATACTCAAATGTTTTAAAGCTTCAGTGCCATTTTTTACTTTGAGTACAAAATGTTAAGAGTTCATCTCCCAGACTTTTCAACACAAATAGGCTGGCTGTTTTTTTACTTGAGTTTTGATCTGTATTCTACAAGCTTCTCCGCAATAAATTAAAAGGAAGAAATATTCTCAGCCACACAGTCTTGAAAACAGGGAAGAAATGTTCAGTAGCTTGGCTAGCCAATACTTAGCTAAGAGATGAATTCTTTAGTCTTACTGAACTTAGTAAGGGTAACCAGGGCTACTACACTGCTATGGTGATTTGTTGTCTAAACAGAAGATGTTGCTGCAATATATCAAAATGGGCCTGCATACCTACTAATTTTAGTGTGATTTTTTAGAGCATGGCAAAATTATCTTAATCCCCAACTGCTATAAAGCAGTCTTCCTAGGAATATTAAATTAGGGTTAAATAGATACTGTTTTCTCAGCTTGTATTTTACCATAGTTCTGTTTGTAAGAGCTTCCCTCTGTAAATAAACCCATAGATTTAATTTCTAGGGTCCTCTGTCACTCAGCATTACTTCTTTTTTCCTTCAACTTTATCATCTACTATCAAAGAGCAATAGACTGTAGTTATTAAACAACTGACATTGTTTCCAACCTGGAATTATTATTCAGCAACACAATCTCGTTCTTGAGCTCTCAGCTTCTTCCTCAACTCTCAGAATAGCACTTACACCATTCTCATTTTTATTCTTTCTTTTTGTTTATGAAAAGACAGTGGTCAGGTGGCAAAAAAAGTTTTGCAGCTGACTTGCCTTTTTTAATGGCTAACTTTCTCAAATAAGTTTGTTCAGCAGATCACAATAAATCATCTTTTTATGGAGACTCAAAGTAAAACCACACATAAGTCTCTTTCTGTTTACGAGAGGGCAAGGTTTACCCTGAGCTAGGCCCAAAGAAGACTAAACACAGTTTCAGAAACTATTAAGCTAGCAACCACAGCTGGGACTACTGATTAAAGGATTTTAGGCAGAGGCCTTACAGGAGGACTTTCAAGAATGCCAGAGAGTAGATTTATAATTTTTGAGGGTAGAATTTTCAAAATCACTACTAAATTTATCACACATGTACTATAAATTTATAAAAGTTTTATTTTTAAATCACCATTCCTCACTGCTCCAGCTTCTCTTTGATAACTATAGTTCAAATGAATTCAAATTCCTAACTCAGAAAGCTCTTAAGTATATGCTGGAATATTACATACTTGGATCAGCAAGAAGAGAAACAAATTTCCATCTGTAGATTCAGTGAAATAGCTCTGGTTTCTCTCTCCAGTGACTATTAGCTATTGTCCACAGAAACATACTAACGTTCATGTTTCACATACAAAACTATCTCCCAAGTGATTCAAAGCCCAGGAGTTTGCCCAGTGAAACTGGCACGTAATGCCTAAACTTGACATTGCTGCATTTCAACCCCCCTAAAAATAGGCAGCATAGTTCTAATTTGAGTTATTTGCGTAGACCTACTCAGTTCCCATTCGTGTACGCAGTGGGACATGCACATTATCATCCATCTTCTGAACATCCTCTTGGATGAATGGAATGTCACAGGGCCTGGGGGCACCAGGAATGTGCAGCTGCAGCTGTGTCATATACCCACAGCAGCATTTAACACTGACTTAAGTAACATCTTACAGTTTCTTTGTAACTTTTTTCTCATGATGCTGTGTTTGCATTATTCTCAGATTCACCATTCAACTTCTATCTTTCTTCTATTTTTCCTCTGGAATTTTCTAATTTATTTCTTTTTTCTTCTCTTATCTTAACGACCTCTGTCTGTATTCTTGTCCATTTGTTTGCCTTCAAGAATGCTGCTTAAATATTGCTGCAATTTGTGATGTCTACTGAGCACAACTAACACTGAGTTCTTTGCAAGACTGGCTGCACTGGAGCCCTGTCCAGTACGTAATATCCAGGGGCTTATATAAAAAATGTATTGTACTTCATTTTCATTTTGGTCTCAGACTTGGGGCGCATCACACTTGGAAAACTGACATGTAGAGAAAACAGAGCAGCAGGTTGGCAGTTCTTGCAACATGTAATTCTCATTTTTGTCTTGGATTTTTTTTTTAAACAGATTAAAACCAGGCCAAATACAGAGACAATAAAATTATAATCAGTTGATTTTATAAATTATTCTCAGCCCTGGAAAACTTTCAAAGCATTTTTTACGTGTAACAAAATTCTTGGAATCTTACACATAGATAGCAGAAGTTGCAAACTTTCTTGTGGCATTTATATCTCATGGCCCTTTTAGCACATTGCACTATTATAACTGGCAAGTTTTCAGAGCCTGCAAAAACTCATATTCCATGCATAATCATTTATACCAGGACTTGGGAGATCTGCAACAGCAAATATTAACACCATGTCTCCTACTTTCGTCTAAATTTTCTTTAATGAAATCCCCCCATCTAGCTCTTCCCATTGTCAAGATATGCTTTGTTCCTGCTTCATCTTTAGAATCTGTGAATGTTAAGTGCTGGAAAGAACTATGGTCTTTAAAAACCAACATATATTTGTGTTAAACTATTACGTGATTCCAACTGCTAAAGTCTATGTAATCCACTTGTTTCATTTGTTACAGATGCATTCTGAAGTGTATCAATCCACTTTCTCTATAACTTACAGAATGTCATACTATATTTATAAGCTTGCAGTCTGAAAGCGTTATGTTATGACCACTAGTTGGAGACGAGAGACACTCGTAACACAGAGATGGGCAGTATGTAAATGTTCAGATGACCTTCAGCTGTACCACAACAGCAAAAATCTAGAGATCCTTCCAGAAAAGAGTCCTGCCCATGCCAAATATGAAAAAATACCTAGAAACTTTTGAGGCATGTCCCAAGCAAATCTTGGTGCATGAGGTACTATCTATACAAATAGTCTTTAAGACAGTGAAGATGTCTCAATCAAGCCTTGAATTGCAGCAATAAATCTGCTGTATTATAGTTCATATAACTATTCGAGTAAATTAGGGTTTTCTTAAATACTAGCATTATACTGCACATCACTAGCTGACAGAAGTCATAATCAAGATTTTCTATTTCACTTTAATATTTACTTGACAGAAAGTTTGAATGATCATAGAATCATAGAATCATAGAATAGTTTGGGTTGGAAGGGACCTCTAAAGGTCATCCAGTCCACCCCCCCTGCCATGGGCAGGGACATCTTCAACTACATCAGGTTGCTCAGAGCCCCGTCCAACCTGACCTGGAATGTTT